GCTGCCACCCTAGCAGGGTGTGCAGGTTCTGTTGGGCCTTCCTTTAGGGTCCATCCCAGTACAGTGCCCATAGGCTGCCCTCTCCCTGGCCCACATGACCTGCGTGTTCCTGGGCTGACTTCCATTAACAGTGGTGGGTGGCTTGGCATCCGCTTCTGCCCTCCGGGCTCTGGGGCCGAAGGAGTTCTCCAGCATTCACCTGAAGCTTTCAGACCTGGGAAGCGCGACCAGCCTCTAGCCAGCCCAGGAGTGCGTCTGGGTCTTCTCCAGCTGTGTCCCTCCTAGCATGCAGCTGTGTTGTTCCCCTGGGCATGCTAGCCAGCAGGGGAAGTTCCAGACCTTTTCTGGCTGCAGGGAGGATGTTCCGCTCTATTCCTGGTGCCTGGATACATCCCACCGCTGCTCTGGCTTCCAGGCCCATTTTGAGCCCGTGGCCTCCAGTCTCTAGGTCAACCAGTGGCTCCTTCTCCAACCATGTGGTATTGGCTGTTTTAATTGCTCCTGGCCACCTGGGCTGCGGCATGGATGCAAGCCAGGTGTGGGCCTGTCATACTCATCACACCCAAAACAGACCCCTGTGGAACCCAGTTTAAAACTTTCTGCCATGACCACATTTCATCCATTCACAGTTACTCTTCGCTAACAACTAGTTAAGCAATTATATATCCACCTAACAGGGCATGTCTACATGTGCATTAATGCACCTTTTCTAATGAACATTAAATTAGTACCTCCAGTGTGTGGTACTAAATTAATGTACATTAGGCTGTGCTAATGCACAGTAGCATATTTGCATGCTTTTTTAGTGATGCTTAATGCACAGTAGACTATTTTACTGCACATTAGCATAGTGTCACAGTTTTTACATGATGCTTTAATGTGCAGTAACATAGCCTACTGCGCATTAAAGTGCACGTGTAGATGCGCCCACAGTAATTTGTTCTAGTCTTATGAATGGGTCCCACAAAAAGAAGGAATCAGGGCTACTTAATTTACATCAGTTGTTCTTTTTTGAAAAGGTATTTTATTCTTTAAATTTTTAAAAATTACTAATGCTAAAATAAATCTTGAATAATCTTATGAACAAAGAATCCATATAAGTATGCTGAGAATGCCCTAGGGTTTGGACATCTCTTCTAATCATGCTATCTAATTTATTTAATATAAGAACATAAGGAAAACTGTAGTGGTTCAGACCATAAGTCCATCTAGCCCAGTATTCTGCCACAGAACAGGTGCTAAAGGAGAAAGTATTTATAAAAGGCCTATCCAGACTGAGCTGCCCCCTGTTCCTCTTCTCTTACAGTTTCCATCATTTAGAGCACTAGGTATAGCACTGCAATTTGAAGACTGAAGCCCTATCAAGTTTAATTCCCACTGGTGGGCCTATCCTATATGAATTTCTGCAGTCCTTCCTTGAATTTGGTTAGATTTTCAGTCTCTGACATCTTGTGGGACACTTGATAGAGTTTAAAACTGTTTTAATGATTAAAATTGGCTGTGTGAGAGACTGGGTGCATCTTCCGCTTGGAGACTGATTTAATTTCAACCCCTATAAATTATCATCATTTGAAAGTAATTCAGTGTCTTGTTAAATGAAAGGAACTGTAGATCTAATAGAAATGGTGCAGTGAGGATCTTAGAAACACAGTATGTCTGGCAAATAAACAATTGTTGCTTACTTTGCTGATATTTTTACACAGGGAGATGACTAACCACTGCATATTGCTCAGAGGAGGAAGTATGACATCCTATATCTTTGTGCAGTGCTTAGTACCACAGAGAGTTGATCCAATTAAACTATTTGTATTACTAATACAAATGTATGATGATTAATAACAGTCATTGCTTTAATTCCATTGTTTTTCTCTGCACCACATTTTAGAAGATGCTCAAAGTATAAGACAATTCAGTGACAGTAATTTTTTCTTTCCGAGAAAAATTAGATCATTAATATTTTCAAAATATAATCAAGTACAGAAAACAATATCACAGCAACTGTTTAAAAAGCTAAGAAGTAACGTTATTAAGAAGCATTCTATGAAACGAAGAACAGCAGGCAACATGGCAAAAAGTTTCTGCAACCTAAATCATTAAAAACTATTCTTGTAGAGATTTTTTCTGCTATATGTATCTATGCCTTTAAGCATCCAATCAATAAGACTCTTGAGGGCGAGGAGGAGTAAAAAAGTAAAAAAAATATTTTTGCTAGTGCATTCAGCAAACACAGAACAGTTGTCGTGTACTGCAAAACAGCTTTTACACAGACACTTCTTGAGTAGGGCAGTACTTTAAACAAAAGAATTAGGCTGAATGGAGCTCTGAGTTTTCTCTGTTAAAGACTGAAAGTTGGTGGAATCCATGTTTTCCCTGTCTATACTGAGTACATGCCCAGCAGGTTTTTACAGTTTGCTTTTGAAAATAGATCCATTTGACAAAATTGCAGTTGCCCTTAGCCTTCGCTCTTCAGTCTAGTCCAGACTGATAAGAGTCCTTATTAGGCACTATATTCTTTACATGACTGTTGTGAGGAAGGGGTGTAGGTTGTAGCCGTGTTGATCTAAGGACATAGGCAGACAAGGTTCCTTGGGTGAATCTGATATCTTTTATTAGACCAAACCAAATAGTTGGAAAATAATTATTAAGCAAGCTTTCGGGTTCAAAAACCCTTCGTCAGGCTAAGGAAGTTTCAGCAGGTTCAACAGGAACACACTTTTGATATGGTCTTTTTGTATGTTGTTTGGGTATTGTTTGGATTTTTTGTTTAGGGCATTTGGTTTCTTTTGCCAAAGTGATTGTTACTGCCTTCGTAGCAAGAAACAGCACTCAAACATGGTTAAATCACAGTGTTTCGGACCACTGATTTAGAACAATATACAGAGCACTATCATTCTTTTATGGGAACACCTTGATTTCCTCCATTACCTATTTGTTTAAATTGTTGTAAAAATCGTATTTTTACCTCTAAGGATTGATTAGATTGCTCTTGAGTGACCTCATCTGGCCAATAAATATGATTCTGACAGTCTCTGAAAAAGCTGTGTTATGTCATTTGATTTGGTGTAGATTAGAAAGCACGAGAGAGATTGCAGCAGGCCAACCCAAATGCACCATCATGCCATACCTTTAGGAATATGGAAAACATTTTTAGCATCTCATGTCCAAAATACTCTTAATGCGACCATAGCAGTCCCGCACTTTGCATGCATAGCTCATGAGAATTTAACAAGTATCAGAATCACTTTTCATAGTAATGAGACATTGTCACCACTGTAACAGACAAAACAGGCCAAATTCTATCAGGCTTAATTTGAAAATTCTAGTTGCACAGGTATCGCTGAGAGCAGAGCAGATCAAACTGGTGAAAACCTCATCCTTTATTAAAACTAGAAGGGACATCACTAGAAGGTACAACTACAGCGAAGCAGAAATCCTGCTGAGGGAATAAGCCTACAGGCCTAACAGGCCTTTTCTATTTTAAAAAAAGCTTAGTAACATTATTTAGAGACGCTTTATGAAACAAAGAGCAGCAGGCAACATGGCAAAAACTTTTTTTCAGTCTAAATGATCATAAACTATTCTGGTGGTGGAGATCGTTTTGTTACACGTCTCTGCGTAGTATCTATGATGCCTTCAAACATCCAGCCCGAAAGACTCTTTGGCTGTGTCAAGATGCGCTTGCAGAGGCACAGCGGTGTGCGCTTGCAGCAGCACAAATAGAAGCACAAGTTTATGCTACTGCTTTGTGCCTCAGCGCGCAACCCTGCATGTGCACTTTGTTGTGGCACACATTGTCCCACTTTGGGAAATTGCCCTTGCGCAGCTCCTCTCAGCTTGAGCAGCAGGGGCACAAATGGAGGAGTGTCTCACTGAAGGACCAAGCCTGTTTGTTCCAGTGCATGCTATTTTCACATGCTCTGCACCACTTATTTTCACGGCACTCTTTTTTTGCTACTAGGAAATCCCAGTACCAAGTTTTGCCTCTGCACTGTGAATTTGCAGTGTGGGGCACATTTTAACGTTCCATGCATGTAGTTTGTGGCACCACAAAGAGGTTTGTGATGCCAAAAAACCGCATGTGCCTGCATGTCAGGGCTAAGCGGAGTAAAAAAAACAGAAAAGGGAAAAAAGTATTTTTGCTAGTACACCCAGCAATTCTAACAATATCTGTTTTTTCTGAATTGTGTATTTAAGATGGTGCTTGCTTTTGTGCCAACTGACAAAGCTGGTGACAACCTGACCCCCTTGGTGCTCAGACAGGACAGCTGCAGGGACATGGTGGGGATCTGGAAATTGTGCTTGTTTAAATGAATGTGATTTCTGTAGATGAGTATTTTTCCTGGCCAGGTACTGCAGCTGCAGCTGGTCCCCTCTGAGACTGGGACAGCAAAGGATTTTATTGGGCCTCTTCCAGCCTTGCCAGGTCTTAAATATTACATTATCGTATCAGAAGCTCAAAGTAATTGTATTTGCTGAAAAACAATCATACACTGAAAAAAATGCAAATAAGTCTTATTTATTTGACATTGCTCACAATAAGTGGCAGTGCGTGAGAATGGAGTCATCGAAGTTAAAGCTTTTCTTTTTGGGGCAAGCAGCCCCGAGCAAGTGCTGACAGCAAACCCGAAAGCAGATGAAGACGCTCTGAGTGACTCGGGTTTTGCATCAATTAACTGCCTCAAACATTATCGTGCATTGTCCAGGGTACAAGAGTTGAAATGATCATGCAAATACAATCATGAACATACATCTGGCAACATGGGCCTCTTCCCTCAGGAACAAGAGACATCTTGGCTATGGACATGGGAGGGCTCCTGGCACGATCCACGCCCCGGCCGCAGGGCCAGGCTCTCAAGTGGAGGCAGCACCCAGCCAGGCCGCGGGAGACTGCTTAGCCCCGCCCCTTCGGCTCCTGATGACGCAACGGCTCGAGGACACAGCTCCCGACCACGCCCCCTTCCCCGCCCCGCCCCCACGTGAGGGGCGTGTCCCTCGCGGGTCGCCGTAGCAAGAAGATGGCGGCGCCCGCGGGCCGCGACAGCGAGGAGGAGGAGGCTTTGGTGAGCTACGGCACCGCGCTGCGGCCCCCGGC